CTCTCTCTCTCTCTCTCTCTCTCTCTCTCTCTCTCTCTCTCCCCCTCTCTTTTTCTATCTGTGCGTACGCATGTCTACCTGTCCGACAGCACGAAGTTGTCCCCCTTGCAGGCCGATTCTGGTCTCGCATGTCACGTTTGGCGTCGTGTTGCATCGGTGACTGGTGAACGTGTCGATAAAGCAGAGTGTTGTTTTCCACGCTGCAATAGGTATACTACTGCATGCCATGACTGTGTGTACCATTGGTGGTTGTTGTCCCATCGCCCCGCGGTAGCCAACCTCTCTGTCTGTCCAGTGTATGTATGCATCTCTGCGACAGGTTGACTACTGCGGGCCATGTAAGTGTACACCGCTGCTGGTAGTACTCGTTCTGGCCCTTAGTAGTCAACCTCTCGCAATCAACATTCTTTTTTTTTTTCCCAGCTGGGTGAGGTTGACTATTGCGTGCGATGTCAGTGTTTGTCGACGCTGGTTGTTGTCCTGATGGCCCGCAGTAGCCAACGGCCCTCTAACGCACTGTAGTCTAGCCTGTATGGGCGAGGTTGACTACGTCGGGCCATGTAAGTGTACACCGCTGTTGGTTGTTGTCGATCTGGCCCGCATTAGCCAACCTCGCGCTGGTGCCACATTTTTTCATGATTTCTCAGGTGGGTGAGGTTGACTACTCTGTGCCATGTCAGTGTGTACCGAAGCTGCTTGTTGTGTCAATGGCCTGCAGTAGCCAACCGCCTTCTAAGGCCCCGTATGTCTGCCTGTACGGGCGAGGTTGTCTACTGCGGGCCATGTAAGTGTACACCGCTGCTGGTTGTTGTCGATCTGGCCCGCAGTAGCCAACCTCGCGCTGGTGCCACATTTTTTTCTGATTTCCCAGGTGGGTGAGGTTGGCTACTGCGTGCCATGTCAGTGTGTAGCGAAGCTGCTTGTTGTGCCAATGGCCCGCAGTAGCCAACCGCCCTCTAACGCAGTGTATGTCTGCCTGTATGGGTGAGGTTGACTACCGCGGGCCATGTAAGTGTACACCGCTGCTGGTTGTTGTCGATCTGGCCCGCTGTAGCCAACCTCACGCTGGTGCCATATTGTTTTCTGATTTCCCAGGTGGGTGAGGTTGGCTACTGCGTGCCATGTCAGTGTGTACCGAAGCTGCTTGTTGTGTCAATGGCCCGCAGTTGTTGTTAGCTCTCTAACGCAGTGTATGTTTGCCTGTATGGGCGAGGTTGACTACTGCGGGCCATGTACGTGTACACCGCTGCTGGTTGTACTTGTTCTGGCCCGCAGTAGCCAACCTCGCGCTGGTGCCACAATTTTTTATTTTTTTTTTCCAGTTGGGTGAGGTTGACTGCTGCGTGCCATGTCAGTGTGTACCGATGCTGCTTGTTGTCCCAAGGCGAAAATACGAGGATCTGTGGGAAAAAAGGGTGATGGCTCCAAGGCGAAAATACAAGGATCTGTGCAGGTCTTTGAAACCCGCGGGAAAGAAGGACAAGTGCCGGAAGAAATCGGGGGCTGAGAAGAGGGAGTCGAAAGAGCATCGCAGAAGCGGTGCCGGCCTCTACGCGAAAACCGTGCACAGACGCAGGCGTAAATCCGGGTCGAAAGTTACAGTCCCTTCCAGTGAGCGGGACATTTCAACGCTGAAAGAACGTAATGAGTCGCCCCCCTCGACCCCTGTCGGGGGAAAGCGCGGAAGAGGCGCCGAGAACCGTCCGCCGAGGGCCCCAGAAAAAAAATCGTCGGATGATAGAAGCGCGACTACTCACCGGAGTTCAAAGAAGAGAATATCCTACAAAGACAAGAGACCAGTGGAGACAATCGATCTTAGAGGGTCTAACGACAGGCACAACACACCCCAAGCGGAAGAAGAGGAGGAACACGACCGTTCCACGCCAGAGAAGTCAGACGGTGCGGAGGATGAGGAGGGGGGAAACGAGGGAGACGACAGCGGTCCTTCCCACGGGCAGTCGCAAGACACCGACGAGGACGATAACAGCGACGGCAAATCGGCCAGCCAGAGTACCGGCGAAGACCGGAGCGCCGCTTCGGAAGGAGATGATTCGCCATTTCCTTCGAGGATGCTGCGCAGCGAAGGAGAACGGCAGGCACGCAATGGCAGCGACACCGAGGAGCCTGTCGGTGACAGACAAATCGTGCAGCACGTGAGCGCCACTGGAAAAGGTAAAAAACCCGCGTCGCACTCGCTCCCCTCCCACTCACGAGCAGCTAATCCCGTGCCCCCACGGGGCGCAAGCCTTCACGCACAGAAAAAGGTTTTAGTGAACGCACTGTTGATAGCCGAATCTTCCAATTACCAAGTGTTGTATTAAGAACAAGGCGCCGAGTTGCTAACACTATCCTGTGCGTTGTGTCTTGTGTTTCCCTGCCCAGCGCAACGTCAGGAACGAAAGCGCGCGCAAGGGGCATAGCCGCGCAAGGACCCAACGAGGAGGGCGCTGTATTAGCGAAGAAAATGAAGGGCAAGCTGTTGCGTTCCGTCGCCAAAGCCTTTGCGTTCTCTTCGGCGAACGACGCAACTCTGTACCCTACAGAGGACACGTTTTTCGCGGCGGTGCAAGCGACGGTCAAACTGGCAGGGGGGACAGCAGAGGAAGGGCTGCGGTCTCACATTGCAGAGTGCGAGATTCGAGCTGTCATAGGGGAATGCAATAGAATTATGACGACGATCCGCGGAGAGATTACCTGGCAGCTGAAGCATTGGTTCTGGGCAAAAAAAGGGATTCCGCTGGTCGGATCTCAGCAATCGGACCACCACCTCCCCGCTTGCAACAAGATGCGCGCCGAGATGAAAGAGAACAAGACATGGAGACGGAGCGACGACGATCCGTGGGGCGCCCCCGCCTTCAAGACGACACTCTTAAAAGTTTTCCAGATGAGGAAGGAAGGACGAAACCTTGGCGTCACCCTGCAGCAACTCGCTTTCGCGGAGATGGTCATTCAATGTGAGATAGAACAGACAACGAAGACGACACGAGCTGCGGAGCAGATAGAAAAATTGGTATCTATAAAGCAGGCAATCGTCTCATCTCTACGAGCTCGCGACACGGTAATAAGTTTTTCCGTCTTCAAGCTGGACAAATCCGTATCCGTGGCTGAGAAGGCAGCAACCCTCTTTCGCTGTGGCACGTCGTCTGTCAACAGGCCTGGCCTCCCAAGCACCACAATAACGGATGATGATTACGACGTCGAATACATTCTCCCTCAGAGTACACCAGCCGGCGGCAGGGGGGCGCGCACCGACAGTCTGTGCGCCGCACCCTGAAAAATTAGGGACAGTTTGGCTACATTTCGACATGGAAGGGAGGATGCTGGGCAACGACCAAACGGTGGAACGGAAGGTTCTNCCACTATCCTATTCCCATTAAAATATTGCTTAATTAATAAACTGTCATTTTTCCTCCTCAAACGGATCGTTGGAAAATTGAATGGAATATTACACAATTTCCAGCACTTTTTGTCGATCGACGTCATCGCTTAATAAACTGTCGATTGAGCACTGACAACCGAACCTCTTGTACACCCTTCTGTCCATATTCATGCTCATGCACAAACACACACACACATACACTCTGACAAACACTCTCTGCGACACACTCTCTGACACACACACACACACACACACACTCTGACACACACTCTCTGCGACACACTCTCTGACACACACATAGACACACACACACACACATACATGCACACACGCACACACATACACACACACGCGCACGCACGCATGCACACTGTGGTACACACATACTAACATATGCATACACCCACACATACCCTCACACACATATGCATATGCACATGCACACACACACACACATGTCACTGTAAGACATACACACATGCACACGCATGTGTGCTATGATGCTTTCTTCTCCCTGCCTCTCTTTGAGCGTCGCACACCGCATTCCTGTTTTTTCTCTCTTGCTTCACACTTCGGACTGCACCTTCCCTCACTCCCATCATGCAAAGCAAGGTCCATTCGTTCTGGCTCGGCAGATGACAACGTTCTTCCCTCACTRTGTGACTTTCCACCGTTCTCACATGATTGCTCGATCAAGTCGATCACATGCTCGCTGCCGCCACCGGGATCGGCCACGACAAGAAGCTTCCTTTCCCAATCCATCCTCTTTGTCCACGTCCATGTTTTGTTCGAGGTTCGCATCCGCGTCAGCTTCCTCATCATCATCTCCCACTTCACGACTAGTAGCCATACAAACTCCCTCTATACCACCACCATCTTCCCTCTCCATTGAGTCTGGGGCTATCTGTGAGCCAGAGCGAGTGCATACCATGTGCAGAAGTTTGTCCCCCTCATCTCTGTTATCCGTTAAAGGCTCGGTAGTGTCCGGCGGACTTGTTTCCCCAAATACTAGTGCACCTTCCGCATCGTGATCCCCCCCACTCCGTCCTCCATGTGACGACATGCCTCTGTCGCCTGCCGACAACGGGTCTCCCAGTCCACTTGGCACCCGCTGGGCACCCCCATCTCCCGCATCTCCCGCATCTTCGTTGGTTGTGGCCTCCTTTTCCCCCTGTTCCTTTGTATTTTCTGCCCCTTCCCCACCGCATGCCGGACCTGCCGCCTTTTCCCTGGCACCGCGGCAACGCCCTCAGAACACGGTGTTTTCTGTAGCTCATCATGTGATGCCTTGTGAGTTCCCTCTTCTTTGCATTCGACGTCCTTCCTCTCATGCCTTTCCTTTTCAGCAACACTCGTCTTAACGGTTCCTTGGCCAGTCCCAGTTAAACTCTTACACTGTCTCATCTTCTCTTCCATGGCTTGACTGCACCCCACCAATATGTCACTGTCGTACAGTTGTTCCGTCTGACGATACTCCAATGTCCATCTGATGTGTCATCGTGAAGGGGTCGATTTTCTCTCGTAGAAAGCAGCGCAATACTCCAGAAGATTGTTTTCAAACAACGCTTCAAATACGGAGTTCACCTTTTCGCTGATATCTTGCTCTCGTGCACCCTTGTTTGCCTGCAGCACGCGTAGCAACGATTGTTCCTTCGCAGTGTCAAGGAACTTACTCCTGCTCAGTCTCTTCTTGAATATCCACTTCCCTCCGACTCGGACAACCATGTGCCATTTGCCATCCAACACACATGGCTCGAAAAGACGCGGATGCCATATGATGTGATGGCCCTATTTGTACACCTCAGTCTCTGTGAACTTGGTGTCCAAAAAGTGAGGTCCTCCTTTGCTCTCCTTCATGTGACTTTCAATTTCATCTCCAGGAGTTAGATCTTTGTCCTCGTCATCTGGAATGCGGAACAACGGCTCGTTCTCCAGATCCATGTCATCCTCCCCGGGGACTGCGTCGTCATGATGACTACGAGTTTGCTTCTCTGTTGGCATTTCCATGACGCGGGTGAACATTTGCCTCATCATCGTTGGAAACCCTGGGGTGCCTCGCTTGTCTTTCCATTTCGAAGTGTTTGCCTCGGTCCCATCTCCTGGGGATGACGTCTGCGTTTCTGTGAGCTGGGCGGTTTTGCACCTGGCTATTTTCGGTCTCCCGACTTCAACCACCATCGGATCCCCCCCCGATAAGGACCCGATGCGCATGTTCTCGTCGACTGCGTGGTTTCTTGCATCAGGCTGCGGCAGGTCGATGTCGTCATCATCAGTATCCTCCTCACTGTCCATTATATCGAAACGGTCTTTGGGCTCCAACGCTTCGTTACAAATCCTTGCGTCGATATGGCGCATTTTTCTGTCGAACCACAGGTCCTCGCAACGTGCCAGGAATATCTCGATTGCACCAATTTTGGCGTCGTGGTACCGTTGGAGGTGTTGGAGAGCAACGACTTTTCACGCAACGTAATCTGTCTCGGTTCGTATATCAGGAGCATTGCAGAACAAGTACTTCCACAAAGATTCTCTCTTCTTCTCGAGTTTCAGGAACATGTCTCGGCCCGGCCGATGMTGAGTTTTGGGACGCTCGAAGTGACAACGACTTTCAGRATTATGGACGAGGCRATCAATAAATGCCGTACAAAATTCGAGCATGGTGGTCGAGCCGTCACATGCCACCACATGACGGCCGGATCGAAGCAAGTCCCAAACTGACCCAGATTGGACGTTGCCCAGAAGAAGCACACCCTCCCCCTCCTTCGAAAACCATGAACACAACTCCTTGATTCTTGYTGGCTCTCTCTCCCAGACCCCATAAACAACTTTGTCTTCACCGGTCACGCCAATGTGCTGTTGTGTTCAACGGACGAACATATCCTCCTCGTAGTTAGTGTCAAAAAACACATTATCACGTTTGGACGGGACGGTGACTTTTTTGAAGTCATTGCCCGTGTCGTGCAACACAATCGACATTGAGTCGCGGCTCCTCAATGGAAGATTCCCAAGGGGACACATGAGGATGGTTGCGTGCCATGATGCCGCCGCCAGCGGCCCGGAAGAAATTTCACACCCCCCCACCTGAAGATGTTCCTCAGAATGTAGTCCTCCTCTTGCGCGAGCATACTGATCTCTGTGTGTTCAGGACGGCCTCGTCACCAGAGCGAAGCCTCTGACTGCCGACGGATTTGCGAGACTCATTGACAGACACTCCGTGCTCATTGGCTTCGTCCTGCTCCCCTTCGCTCCCCCCTTCGTAGCTTTCTTCGTCCACCGCCCCCCCACCCCCAGTTCCCTCGTCGTCATCATCGTCTCCGAGGGCACGACGACTGTCACCGTCTTCCTCGTCATCCCCACCGTCATCATTGTCCCCTCCGTCCTCGTCTCCCCCCCCTTCCTCGCCGTCCCCGACTCCCTGTTCATCACCGTCACCACCGTCGTAGCCAGCGAACTCTTCGTCTGCTTCGTCGTCATGTCCTTCATTCCCTTCAGCATTTCTCTCAAGCACATGTTGCTTAGCCGAGAAGTCCGCCTCCGTCTTCTCAGAATACTCCGGAAGTTCGCTGGCACCAGCATGACGTGAAGAGGAGACTTCCGCTGGACCTTGTCCTCGCTTCAGACCCGGCGCAGACCGCTTGGACACCGTATTCGCCAGCGAACGTGGCGCAATATCAGACTTCTGGACAGGCTCTGACTTCTCCACGACCTTGCCACGTTCGGTAATTTTCACCGAGTTGTTTTGCCGAGCACCAAGGTCCCCACCGCCATGTGGCGACCGAACAGATATCGCACTGTGTAGAATAGCCTGGCCCAACGCTTGCAGTTTATAAGACCGAAGCTTCGATGCGAACTCGTTAAGTTGAATATCGAACGGTATGAGGGGTGCCGAGAGTGTCAACTTGCTGTCCACAGTGCACACATGGCTGGACACCTTGTGGCAGTTAATTCTCTTGAGAAAGTCGAAAGGTCGGAGCATCACAACTTGCAATCCGTCTTTTTCCGTGACTTATCGAAAGGAGGCATAGCAGCGGCCCGCATGCCGTACCCAACGAACTTCTGCAAATGCATTGACACCTGTTTGTAGTTGTCCGGTTCCTCGTTACCATCAGCGTCGAAGCAAATGGTGAGGTGAAATCTCATGTACTCCTCAGCAACCTCCAGTTTGTCGAAGGCGTAATTCTTCACTCCACCCCAGGGGTAGTAACCCCCACTGGAATCTCTCAAGAAAATGACCGGGCCGCAATAGGGGACTTTGATGCCCATGTGCCAATCGAGCGCCCAATACTTATCGTGGAACATTGCAGCCCTGTCAATCACCTTTGGCGTCGACGCACCCGATGAGGTCTCTTTCCCAGCTACAAAGACACGACATCCGATAACAAAATGAGCACGCAGTTGAATACGTACGGCTTATGTGCCCCTCCAAAAGAGAAAGAGAGAGAGAGAGAGAGAGAGAGAGAGAGAGAGAGAGAGAGAGAGAGAGAGAGAGAGAGAGAGAGACTTCAGGCAGACAGATAGAGGGATAGTGACAGACAGACAGGCGGGCCGACAGACACCGAGCGGCGCGACCCTCCCATGGTTCGGCGTCCCCGGAACGCCGGACCATCGACATGAGAAAGAGAAAGAGAGGGGCAGACAGACACCCCGCCGCAGGTGCCCTCCGATGGTCCAGCGTCCCGGTGACGCCGCACCATCGACAGATATGTGTGTGTGTGTGTGTGTGTGTGTGTGTGTGTGTGTGTGAGAGAGAGAGAGAGAAAAAGACAGAGAGAGAGAGAGAGAGAGAGAGAGAGAGAGAGAGAGAGACTTCAGGCAGACAAAGAGAGGGAGTGTGACAGACAGACAGGCGGGCCGACAGACATCGAGCGGCGCGCCCCTCCTATGGTCCGGCGTCCCGGGGACGGCGGACTTTCAACATGTGTGTGGGGGGGGGGGGAAGAGAGAGAGAAAGAGAAAGAGAAAGAGAGAGAGAGAGAGAAAGAGAGAGACAGACAGACAGGCGGGCCGACAGACACCGAGCAGTGTGCCCCTCCTATGGTCCGGCGTCCCGCGGACGCCGGACCATCGACATCAGAGAGAGAAAGAGAGGGGCGGACAAACACCCCGTCGCAGGTGCCCTCCGATGGTCCGGCGTCCCAATCACGCCGGACCATCGGCAGATATGGGTGTGTGGGTGTGTGGGTGTGTGGGTGGGTGTGTGTATGTGTATAAGGGAGAGAGAGAGAGAGTAGAAAGTTTCGATCACCCCCCCTGCCTTTCTCCCCTGCCCATAGCCAGGGCTTCGTGGCCAGCAACAGCGCTCCATTTTTTCATGCCAAAGGAATGAAACAACACGAAAAAAAAAAGGTCTTTGGAAAAAACTGGTTCTCGATCGGGAGAGAGAGAGGGGAGAAAGTTTCGATCTCGACCCCTACGTTTGTGACTTTGTCCCCTGCCCATAGCCAAGCTTCGGGGCCGGCAACAGCGCTCCATTTTTTTACGCAAAAGGACTGAGTTGACAAAAAAAAAAGTCCTCCGAACAAAAATTGTTTTCCGCTTGCGAATTGACAACAACATGGAATCGAGATCAAAATAAAAGCGAGAGAGAGAGAGAGGTCTCTCCCCCTACCTTTGTCCCCTGCCCATAGCCAGGGCTTCGTGGCCGGCAGCAGCGCTGCCTTTAGTTCACGCAAAAGGACTGAAATGACAAAAAAANTCTCTCTCTCTCTCTCTCTCTCTCTCTCTCTCTCTCTCTCTCTCTCTCTCTCTCTCTCTCTCTCATCATCAGTCTTTTATCCCTCAATTCCATCAGTCAGTGCAATCATCACGTGCAAGGTCGGCGCGCGCACACCCAACGCTTGCCCATGTGATCTTCGTACTCCAAAACGTGCTCACCACAAAACGAGGAAAACACAATCACAACCCACCCCCGGACAACGCAAATGACCTGTGTAGAAACTGCTAGTGCATACGGTCCAATACCCTGCTTCAACAAATTCCAACACAGTTTCAACACGGTTCAACACATTTTAACAAAGTTTCAACAACATTCCAACAACTTTCAACAACATTTCAACAAGCCACCAACAATGGATCAACAGTTGGACCAACTGTTTTTCAACAGTTGGTCCAACAGTTGAACACACAAGTTTCAGTGTCCCCAATATACGGCCAGTGTTGGTTTCCTTCATTTTGTGTTGAACATACACACCCCCCCCCGGCCAGCAGTTTATAAACAAATGAAATGTGGTGTAAACATAGGTCCAACGTGGCAAAAAATTTGGCACATTTTTTCTGTTGAACGCACATGAATGGCCTCAAGAGGTTGGACCAATTACGGACAAATTTATTTCAACGACTGATTCCAGAGCTCGGTGTCCGGTGTCATCTGTATCGCTTTGTGCAGGAAAGCGTGATAGTTCTGCTGCTGCGCCACCTTGTCCTCTTTTGTTTTCGCCAGATGCCAGTCACCCTTCGGACACTTCATATGACGCCACAACCCTCTTATTGCGGTGACAGTCATTCTGAACGACGACGGGATAGATTGCGTCTCCCTCGTGTCGTCAAATATGAAAATGTAGGCATACCCGTCAAGATGGTCATCATCGAAGTACACCGCATGCGCTTTCCATGAACGTACGCCCCATTTCCTGGCAGTTGGAGAGTTCGCTGCCTCCAACCTCTTCGCAGCTTCCGCCGTGTGTTGGCCTGCCACGGCGTACCAACGGTACGAACTGACATCCTCGTCCCTCCAGTCCTTGGGTTTCAAACGTTGTCACTGTTTTTGCCCATTCCGCACGACTTCTACAACAGGAGTCAGAATGAATGTGTTTCTGTCCCACTTTTTCTGTTTCTCTGGCCGTTCCATTGCGTCTTTGATGGAAGCAACCAACATCTCGTTCAGGGGTCTGTGATTGTACTGGAACTCCCCATCGTCAGGGTTTGGCAAAATCTTGCGGACATCCACGAACACCTGGGCAGGCCGGTCGATTGCATTGCCATCGGCATCATACTCCAGAAAGAAACATCTCGTTGTGTCGATAGCATCCGACACCAATTGTTCCGATTTGGATGTATTACCTTGAGGATCAACCCGGACTGCCTCGTCCCTGGAGTCTGCAACTTCCTTTGCACCGTCTGTCTTCGCTTTCTTCTTTGGTCGTTGGGAAACTATGGTCGTTCGCGCTTTTCCTTCGTCGGCTTTGCCAACTGTGCGTCCAATGCCTTCTTATACGCCTCCTCCAAAGCTGCCAAACCTATCAACTTCGACTGTCTTCGGCTCTACTCCTCATCACCGGTATCTCTCGATTTTCTCTTGCGCGAGCATACTGATCTCTGTGTGTTGAGGACGGCCTCGTCTCCAGAGCGAAGCCTCTAACTGTCGGCGGATTTGCGAGACTCATTGACAGACACTCCGTGCTCATTGGCTTCGTCCTGCTCCCCTTCGCTCCCCCCTTCGTAGCTTTCTTCGTCCTTCGCCCCCCCACCCCCAGTTCCCTCGTCGTCATCGTCGTCTCCGAGGGCACGACGACCGTCACAGTCTTCCTCGTCATCCCCACCGTCATCTTTGTCCCCTCCGTCCTCGTCTCCCCCCCCTTCCTCGCCGTCCCCGACTCCCTGTTCGTCACCGTCACCACCGTCGTAGCCAGCGAACTCTTCGTCTGCTTCGTAGTCATGTCCTTCATTCCCTTCAGCATTTCTCTCAAGCACATGTTGCTTAGCCGAGAAGTCCGCCTCCGTCTTCTCAGAATACTCCGGAAGTTCGCTGGCACCAGCATGACGTAAAGAGGAGACTTCCGCTGGACCTTGTCCTCGCTTCAGACCCGGCGCAGACCGCTTGGACACCGTATTCGCCAGCGAACGTGGCGCAATATCAGACTTTTGGACAGGCTCTGACTTCTCCACGACCTTGCCACGTTCGGTAATTTTCACCGAGTTGTTTTGCCGAGCACCAGGGTCCCCACCGCCATGTGGCGACCCAACAGATATCGCACTGTGTAGAATAGCTTGGCCCAACGCTTGCAGTTTATAAGACCGAAGCTTCGATGCGAACTCGTTAAGTTGAATATCGAACGGTATGAGGGGTGTCGAGAGTGTCAACTTGCTGTCCACAGTGCACACATGGTTGGACACCTTGTGGCAGTTAATTCTCTTGAGAAAGTCGAAAGGTCGGAGCATCACAACCTGCGATCCGTCTTTTTTCCGCGACTTATCGAAAGGAGGCATATCAGTGGCCCGCATGCCGTACCCGACGAACTTCTGCAAATGCAGTGACACCTGTTTGTAGTTGTCCGGTTCCTCGTTACCATCAGCGTCGAAGCAAGTGGTGAGGTGAAATCTCATGTACTCCTCAGCAACCTCCAGTTTGTCGAAGGCGTAATTCTTCACTCCACCGCAGGGGTAGTAAGCCCCACTGGAATCTCTCAAGAAAACGACCGGGCCGCAATAGGGGACTTTGATGCCCATGTGCCAATCGGGCGCCCAATACTTATCGTGGAACATTGCAGCCCTGTCAATCACCTTTGGCGTCGACGCACCCGATGAGGTCTCTTTCCCAGCTACAAAGACACGACATCCGATAAGAAAATGAGCACGCAGTTGAATACGTACGGCTTATGTGCCCCTCCAAAAGAGAGAGAGAGAGAGAGAGAGAGAGAGAGAGAGAGAGAGAGAGAGAGAGAGAGAGAGAGAGAGAGAGAGAGAGAGGCTTCAGGCAGACAGATAGAGGGAGTGTGACAGACAGACAGGCGGGGCGCGACCCTCCCGTGGTTCGGCGGCCCCGGGACGCCGGACCATCGACATGAGAAAGAGAAAGAGAGAGGCAGACAGACACCCCGCCGCAGGTGCCCTCCGATGGTCCAGCGTCCCGGTGACGCCGCACCATCGACAGATATGTGTGTGTGTGTGTGTGTGTGTGTGTGTGTGTGTGTGTGTGTGTGTGTGTGTGTGTGTGTGTGAGAGAGAGAGAGAGAGAGAGAGA